CAGAGGGAACCGCGCATGCCGGATAGAACAAGCAAACGGAGAAATGCCCTGTGCAACTGGGATTCAGACCAGAGCAAATCAGAGAGAGGCTTTTTCTGTCAACCTCAGTTATGTGCAATCCAGCATCTGCTTGCATGTTACTGCTGTTCTTCATGTTGCATCCATAAGTAAAACTTAGTGTTTACACTAAATAACTTTTCTTTATTTTGTATGTGTTGAGATAAATTTACACTTTTGTGAGGTGTTCCTTGCAAATACTCAAATTGCAATAATGATGAAAATGCGATTTATTACGGTGCCCTACCCAGAATGTACTGCAGATTCCTCACTGTCACTTAAATTACGTCTTATTAAAATGTCTCTGTGTTTGCCACAAATAACACAGGCTCTCTGTGCTGATGACACCAGTGTTGGCATGTTTGCAACATTTTTAAGGAAAAAAGGCGACAATAGCAATTTGGTAGGAATCCTTCCGTCACCTCATAATCACTCTTATTAATTTAGTCTGTCCTCCACAACACCCACAACCATGGAGAAAGTGAAAATATGGAATGGGAATGTGAAGTCACGCTCTATCCCCAGTATGTTGTGCAAGCACTCAGTGTTTCCTGTGTTCGTGTAGCATTACATTTCATAACATGGCTTAGCTCTGAGGTTAACCAACATTCACCAGCATCTTCTCTCAGCCCACATCAAGGCCTCTGCCAGTGTAGAAAAACAAAACTCATTCACACAGGCTCGTGGTTTACGATGCAACAGCTCCACATATTTCTGAATTTAAAAGAGCACAGCTAGGTCTCATTTGAATGAATTACATATGTAAGGCTTTGTGAGTTCAACAAGGCCTTGCTTAAGTTTTTAAGTCTAATAACTGCTGCTTGCTCACAGTAGATCTAGATAATGCACACCAAATAAGCTTTTTTGTTGCCATGAGTCTGCTTACTTTACTATCACTGTACAGTTTTATGTTTAAATGATAGGCCACTTTATTACAGTTTGCAACAATAACACAAATGAATCAGTTAACCTGAACATCATTTGCTAACATTTGCATATACTAAGAAATGCTTCCTGCTAGAAATAAGATTGATATAAAACTAATATGCAATGGAAGATAAGGTTTGAAGGATTGAGGAATTTGGGGCATGAAGGAAATGTTGTTTCATGTTTCTGAAAAGCTACAAAAATTCTGGTACTGACCATCGAAGTAACATTTAAAATGGATCTCCTAATGGAGATGGATCCTATATTATCATAATATTATGGTATCATGGTATGGTATCATTTTGCAATATAATGTATCTTCAATTTCTGTACACCCTGACCTAGGTAAACACAATAATAAAATCTGTTAAGGCTTAGCAGTTGTCATTAATCATTAATCTAACATGATACTGTTTAATAAGCTGCTGACACGACAGACATTAGATGAATATAATGTCATTAAACATCTGTTTCCCTGACAAACATGTTGATTGGAAATTGTCCTTTGTACACAACATGTCATTGAACAATGTGAATCACTTGGAAAAACAAGAGCATCAAGGTGTTATTGCATTATAAAATGTTGTCATTGTTATATCCAGGTTCTCACAACAATAGGTAAAGATTAGGAAAGGATCAGCACTCTTGATCACTGGAGTCAAAGTGCTGCGAACAATCCCTGAACACTGTATGCAACTCAGGTAGAGCATGGAGCAAAACAATGATCAACAATCATATCACTAAAAAGCCTACATTGTACTTTCACATACCACCAAATAATCACCTGTAAGTGACCTCGCAGCATATAGCATGAGTAGTACTGGAGTGAAGTTTAGCAATATGTAGAAAACGTTTAGTAGAGATGTTGTACTGAATTGCAAATAAGTGTTAACATCATAAAGTTGCAACATTTAAAAAATGTGACAATGGAAATAGTTGAAAATCATTCAGTTTCAAGAGGCCCAGAGAAGCTGCAAGAATTCATTAGAAACTGTCAACTCTACACACCTGAGGCTGCAACACTCTCATTCATTAAATCAATAATAACAATATTCCAGGCAATACATTACTGGTAGATACAATGTAGACCCAGAGGAGAATATTTTACTGATAAAGTTAGAAATATTTTTTTTCTTAAATGACATGGTTGAATGTCTTAAGTTGTTCTGAGAAGTGATGTTGAGCATGTGAATACTGCAGCTTTATTTTATTGATTTCGCCAGTAATCCGTTATGTGACAATAATAAATATATTACTTTTGTCTTTCATACCAAAATTATCAAAATATTAAATCAAAATGACATTTTTCATGGAGTGTAGCTAAAGGAGACCAATCTTTTTATGAGCTCACCTAAATCCCAGACTTCTGATGTGTTGACTTCCAAGCCTGGAAAGGCTCTTCTTGGCTGACTCCTCCAAGTTATTGGAGCCCTCGTCATTGACAACCATGGCCAGTATGAGCCCCACCTCCACACCATCGATATACTTTGCCAGGCGATGACTCTCATCCTTAGTTCGGTATGTGTCAAACCTGTGGGAGAAGGTTGGAGAAAGAATCTAGATGTCAGAACTCTACGTTTTTCCTCGATCAGAAATGACAGACATTATAGAAATCAGGTTTGAATGTCACTCTGCATCTAAGGTCATTCTGTGTTGTAAGTAGAAATCTTACATTAAACAGGAGAGTTCCCATCACAACCGAAGTTAATCTATATAAGCATATCATTTTGATTGTACCCTCTCATAACATCACAGAAAACACAACAGCAGAGGAAGATTGTGTAAAGAATCAGATGAAGGGAGTATTAAGAAGTTCCCTTCAGTCATTGTTTGGATATCATTTAAAAGCTATTCTTGAGTCCAGGTGGACATTTGTGCCTCATTTAAATATATTCCCTCCAGATATTCCAGGGATATCAATTCAAAAGAGTAGAAAAGGAATAATGAAAATAAATTAATAAAGAATGAACATGAATCAATTCCTAATGGGATCAATAATTGGGCTCTAGAAAAAGTTCAGTCAGGAAGAACTCATCAAACGATTGGTCACACATATTTTCCTATAGTAATCAATAGGGATTTTCCTAGCCAACTTATTTACTACTTTATACTTCGAATATAAATTCATTTCACACTAACCGACTAGTCTAATTGTAAGAAAACAGTCAGAATTAAGTGCAATTTATGCAAAATTGTCTGCTGATAAACAATGTCAAATTGGTTTAGCTAGTAAGGCTAATGTAAGCAGTGCTAGCACCACCAGCCTGCACTTCTCCTTGCAGGTTAATGTTCACATGCCTGTGTTGAATGTGGGGCTTTGCTCCACCTGACACAGTCTGCATACAACTTTATCTCAACTGTCTTGATCCAAATACTGGCAGAGGTGCAGAGCTGATGGGAGGCTGAGCAGTAGAGCCAGAGGAAAGGCCCATTAACCAGGGCTAGCTGGTCTATGGCTACAGTTCCAACCAGTGGCGGGTTGATGCATTTCAGTTTGAGCACAGAACATATACAAAATATTAATAATTAATTTAAATATGTTTAAAATACATTCCTACTTAAAGGCTTTATATGCGATTTTTTTGATCCAGCAGATGTCGACTTTGAGCACCAGCATGAAACCAAAACAACTGGCGCTGCATTGTTGTGTTAGCATGCTAATGCTAGCGATCTTTATTATGCTCGTATCTTCACACTGCATGTAAATTTACCTGAAATGAGCGTGATCTAGAAACACAGTTAAGCAGTGAGTACAGTATGTTATTCTTCTTTTCTCTAGTCCCTCAATTAAACAACTTTTATACACGAGGGGAGGAGTCAGCCGGCCGTCCGGGCGATGTAAACAAAATGAAGATAGGACTCTGAAAACATCACAGACAGTGGGACTCGGGTGTTACACCCATTGTAGACAGTCATGACTCACAGAGTTATTTTCAGAGGATATACTTGATTTATATTATATTTAAATCACATAGAAAGCCTTTAAATTGAGGCCATATTTGCCATCTATACATTTTATTGATCTGTAATCGCTCCTTTTACTCTACTTATTAACAGAAACTAATTATTCATCTATTTACCAACATGTAAGCTGTTCTTCAATTGAACAGATTTTTTTTTTAAATGAAAATGTAATGTTTAAATGATTATGACATGGTAAAGAGGATGTCATCAATTTCTAAATGTAATGCTACTCCAAGGTCCAGTGACAGAGACAATAGAAGAATGTATGTCTCCTTTATTACTCTCCTTTTTTAACACAGCTTATCACATATCAGTCATCACATAATTCATGGTATTATTAATAGTCTCATTATTGAAGCAGCTGCAGGTAAAGGGAACCCTTACCTGTCAATGTGCAATACCTCTCCAGTCTTGGGGCTGATAAGGTGAATTATGATTCCCCTATTCCCCCAGCTTCTCTGGAACATGTAGTTGTTCTGGTTGCTCTCTCCTGGATGGATTGTCTTATTAAGGAAAGTCCAAGAGAGTTTCTCTTTTCCATGGATCTCTAGTGTCCCTCCAGTCCCCACACCAATGTACTTCCTTCCGAAGTAGCTGTGTTCTTGATCACTGTCATCCAATCTATGAAAAGTATGAGAAATTCTTGAAAATAATAATTCAATAACAAACAGGTATCCTGGTAGAGATAATGTTTTTCACAAAGAATCTTAACCCTTAAGAGAACTCCTCCTTACTCCTCAGGTGGTAAGATTCTCAGGCAGAGGGGAAAATGGCCCAAACACAGAGAGTTTGGAATGTCTCTCTCTCAATTTAGAGACATTACTGTTATAACTCCTTCCACCCAACAACACAACGAGGCGGCATTTTAAGACTCCTTTGTGGTTGTGATTTGTTTTTCCCTCTAGTTACGCTTTGTTTTGCCTTCAGCTAATTCTGATGTAGTTGTGTTGTAGGCCCTAAAAGTGTCTAAAAGTTTGTGTGAATAAAGGCCCTGGACGCTAGACACTGGCCTCAAACTCAGGGACTTTCCAGAAATCCAAAAAATTTAATTTAATAATTCTGCATGATGCTTTAGTGAATGTTTCAGGCAGTGACACAGACTATCAGGGATTTAATCAAAATAAAGGAGTGCATGATATGAGTTCTGTATCCCTAAAAAGTCTATGAGGGCAGACTAAACACATGGCAAGTTCTAATATTTACTTATCTGACAGGTACATTTTTCACGTGTCATTGTACTAGGCCATTCTGAGAATCCATACAGAGAGAGAGAGAGCACCTAACTTAGCTTCAAATGTACATCAAGTAGTCCTGGTTTATTTGGTTTGGAAACATTCTGAACTTGGTGAGAAGGTGTGGCCTTATCATTACCAGGTATGACACAGTCTTTCAAAAGCTGTGATTTGTTGATAAAAACATCAAAATGCTCCCTTAGTTATAATGGCCAAAGAAAGACAATCAAATCAATTGGCCTAATCATTGAATCTAGGCAGACATGATGTTATTAACAAACACATCTGATAAATAAATTGTAATCCTGACTTCATGTTGGAAAACACATGCCCACTTGTGCAGTATCCTCTTCAAATGCTGATGGTTATGTTAGCATGTGAAGAGCATTTAGTGATCAGATGAATCACATTTAGAGGGGCTCAACATTAGCGCCTCACTTTGCACTTTGCAGTATAAGATGGACTGAGCTGCCTGCATGAATCATGTGTCTACCCTGTTCATTTGCTGTGACGGAGCTGTAATTGTTTGTGGGATCACCTATATGAATGTCCTCCTGACCAGTAAAACAGTTTTTCACTTTAGGAGCTCTATTCTTAGTCATTGTTGTCATGTTTCAACCTGTGCTTTTGTTTGTACCAAATCTACTTAAGGGTAAGAATAAAGGTACCTTACCCTACCTTACCTTACCTTACCGTACCTTACCGTACCTCTTAAGGGCTAAGATGTAAATACCTGTATCTTTGTTTTCACTTTAAAGAACAGCTTTAGCTTATGTGACTAAGAATTTTCAATTTGAATCACTTTGTAAAAACATCCCCTGGAAGTGAGCTATGGTAAACCTGTTTTTAGGATCAATTGGTGTTTGATTTGAAATCCTGCATGTCAGGGTTTAAGGCTTCAGACGATATAAGCCATCGCCTCCTTTGCAACATTCTGGGGGTTCTGGCTTAAACCCTAATACGCTTCAAATGTTGCCCCTGGTATGTTTAATGTAAATCCACTTCTGAACTCTCCCTCTACCCCCCCTTACACACAGCATCATTTTGCTGCTCGCTCTCTTACTTGCTTGATTGTAGACATGTTACACATGAGAGGAGATAAGTCAGAAAGTTCAACAACGTTATGATTACAGGTGGGGGTGCAAGGGATTACATCTAATGACTTCACAGATTTGTGACACGAATCTGAACGTCTTCTGAACAGCCAAACAGAAACATATTTATTACAAGAGAATAAGTTCAATATAATAATTTAAAGCCATTGTCCAGGGCAGGTCTATAATACATAATATACTGTGTTTTAAATGTTCTCAGATCAAATGTCACATTGTGAGAGCTTCAGCTCAATGGTGGCCTCTCTTTTCCAAACCACTTTAGGACTCTGCACTAGTCATGTGACAGAGAGCTTTGAATAATAAAATCAGAGCAGTTTAGGTTCATCTTTCCAATTTCCCAATGCAAGTGCCTGGGACACAAAAATGCCTGCAGACAGCCATGCTTAATGGGATTTTTGTAGATATAAAACCATCTCTTGGAAATGTATAAAATGAAAATACAATTCTTTCACACCAAACTTTTCAGTTTCCCAACCGTACCTTCCAAAGAGGGAGATGGTCAAGTTGCCTTTATATGGACAGTCTGGGCTTCCAATGTGGAGCTCCCCTTTGTTCCCAATCAGTATGTGTTTTGTTCGAAGCAGCATCGGCCTGTTGGTGTCAGCAATCACCAGCTTTCCTGCAGGGCAGAGAGAGAGAGTGAGTGTGTGCCCCTTGGCAGGTCTTTAATGCCCCAGTGCTTTCAGACACCTCCTGTTTCCCCACCATTACCACAGCCATCATGTCCCTGAGCACAGGCTGTCAACACAAACCCCCCTCCCACACACACACACACACACACACACACACACACACACACACACAGAGTTGCAGCTCACCCAGCCCTGTGTAACCAGATTTGCAATCCAGAAAGAATGCTTCTCATTCCCTGCACGTGGTATATGCTTTGAGATTTTTCTCTGTTTCTATTAACAATATTTTCAACAAGAGGGCACTGGGTTCCACAGTTGTATCATTTCTGGAATAAAGAACACTCCTTAATGTGGTCCCAAGTAAATTGCTGTAATAGTTTTTATGAGAAAAAATAAAAATAAATCTCAATCTTAATTACCTCAAGTTTCTGAATTTTAAGAATGTGTTTATAAACCCTTTGTAACTGCACCCCTCCCATGAATTCTGTTTAATTCATAAGTACAGTCATTTAAATTGCAAAAGAAAACCCCTGATGGTTGATTATCTGTTTTACCTCCATTGAGAATCTCAATGGAGTGTACAGTAGCTGAAGATGTGAGGAGGACCTTCCTGCCATAACCGATTGTAACACGGTGGTCTTCACTGTGTCCCGGCATCCATGGTTGCAGTCCTGGCTCCTCATCTGGGCACACTGAAAGGGACAGAAAATAGATATTTAATTCACTTCCAGAGAATGGTAAACTGTGACAATTGTAGTGACATGGGACTGGTAAGAACAAAACATATTAAAGGCTCACACTTAAAGGTAATAGAAATCAAGTATATCCTCTGAAAATAACTCTGTGAGTCATGACTGTCTACAATGGGTGTAACACCCGAGTCCCACTGTCTGTGATGTTTTCAGAGTTTTCAGAGTCCTATCTTCACTTTGTTTACATCGCCAGGACGGCCGGCTGACTCCTCCCCTCGTGTATAAAAGTTGTTTAATTGAGGGACTAGAGAAAAGAAGAATAACATACTGTACTCACTGCTTAACTGTGTTTCTAGGTCACGCTCATTTCAGGTAAATTTACATGCAGTGTGAAGATACGAGCATAATAAAGATCGCTAGCATTAGCATGCTAACACAACAATGCAGCGCAAGTTGTTTTGGTTTCATGCTGGTGCTCAAGGGCGACATCTGCTGAATGAAAAAATCACATATAAAGACTTTAATGAGTAATTGCAACTCAAGTTTTTATAACATAAAGTAAAAACTAAAACACTTCACTTCTACTGTCACTTACTGAAAACCATCTCAAACTGTCCTGTAACACATGTAGTTTTGGTTCGGCCACGAGATGGTTCATTTCAACCCTACTTATATCAAGCTGTATCCACTAATTATTTTCATCTATTCTTATTTTGTCTGTTTTTACATACTTGCTTATTCTTCATTTATTTTGTTGTAACACCTGAATGTTTGATCTGGGGAAGTTAGGTAAAGTTAGAATGATATTCACAGACTCGGCCCTCAGAGATATCTATGAAGGCTTATCTTATGTTAACATAAAACCTATTATTTAAGATTCAATTGTGGCATTCTATCTTTAATTTAATAGAACATCCATTTGACGGTGCCACCATCTTGCATTGGCTGCCATTACTGAGGTGGCAACTCAAAGTCTACTGCTGGTATACAAGTAATCAGATTTAAGACAGCTGTTACTGAAGGTACCTTAAACAGACGATCTTAACAGTATTTACATTTAAGACACGAAGTAGGCTACTGTGTTATAAAACGTAATTCTACAAGCTAGGTAGCTTTTATCAATCAATAGGTGAATTTCATCATTACAGAGTAGTTACGTTGTGAAATACGTTTTTAAAAATATTAATTAGGCACATTTTTTTCTCCCTTCTTTTTTTCCGCTAAAGCAACTAGTCCAATCATCATCATGAATACATGCAGCTCTCACCAGTTTATGATGGCTTACAGAGAGACGTTATACTGTCTGTCAGATTGTTTCATTAATTGCAGCTGAAGAACAACCACACTCAAAAAAGTAAGTATGGCATAGTTTATTTTTGAACACTTGGATTATTCTACAAATGGTTGGACTCTTCTCCTCGTTCACTTGCATTCCTGTAAAGGAAATAGGAACACGCTGAAATGGAGAGTGAGCAGACCATGATGGGCCTTTACTTCACACAGATGGAGGTTGATGGTCCTGAAGACAAACCTGCTGATCTTTTGTCTGCACTTCAAGAGGAGGGAGTCCTGAGAAACCATTAACATGGTTGAGATTGTGACGCTTTTAGGGATTATTTAAATGCTGCAATTGAAGGAGTGCGATGATCTGCTTTCTTGACTTTGCAATTCCTCAAACTTGCAATATGTCGTGAGAAGCATCAATACATTGTTGAAATGAGAAACAGGATCGTCTGTTTATCCTCTTGGATGCATTTTAACATTGTAGTTACTAATTTAAATAAAAAACATTTGAAAGTCTGAAAAAGTTGGTTTGGAAGCCAAATATATTGGATCTAAAAAAGTACTTACATTTAAGTATTGTTAATAAATATGGTTTATTGTTTTAAACCTGTTTAAAGGATTTACTTATACTACATTCCTTGTTCTTATTAAATTGAAACAAATGGGTTTTTTTTATGGGTAAATACATAAACTTGGTTTCATGCATTTTAAACACATTGAGCTTATTAGTAATATTACAAATATTATTACAAAACTATTTGTGTTTAATTTATCTGAGTATTACAGGTGAGTAGAAAAATGTACAACTATGTTCCAATCACAGTGAACGAGGGGCAATACAACACTTTGAAGGTCCAATATGTTATGTTATGATCTATTGAATTAGATCATAAAAATTATATTATATATATATTATATCATTAGACATTAGGGAAACATGCTGTGTTGAAGCGCTGGCTTCTCTGTCAACAACACTGCAGCCAGTAAGTCCTTTTTCTAAGTTTTGATTCAGAGAAGTAGGCGGCGCCCCCACATGGCCATTTTGCCGTTTTGGCCGTTTTGCCCCTCGCCCCTCAGTTTGCCAGGCAAACGGCAAACCAAGAGGTGTTGCAGCGCTAAAAGCAAACAAGCAAACTTGTTCAGATATAACTGACTCTACCCAACCTAAAAAGCCTCTGCATGTTTCTAATAAGCTCTACGAGCAGAAACGTGCTCAAACTAGGATCAACATTAGAGATTCCGGTTTCAAGACTGATGCAGAGCTGATTAAAACACAGAAGCTTCAGTGTTCGGGACATGGCAACCTGCTTGTACATTTATGGAGGAGGGGGCGGGGTGGGGGGAAACAGGTCTCTCCAATGTTTTGAATTTGGACTGCAGCACCCATTTTAAACTCTAGGTGTCAGAGTTTTGGACAACCACAGTCTCAGAAGTTAAAGTGCTAAACAACAAGAATGTAGAATAAATGATGCCAACATCTTTGGTTCTGTAAATATTGTCTATCATAGCAAACAGACAGCGCAAACGTGTCTCAGCTGAGGAAACACTGTGCCTCCAAAGTTCTCTCAAGCGCTCACAGCTGGCTGTTTTTAAAAGAGCACATGGTTTCTGTTAACAAGCCACGCAGAAAACCACTCTGAAAGACACGCAGGCGAAGTCTTCCATTCTATCAATCCAAGTATGCACTGCAGTTCTGTTTACCTTCAGCATCCAGGCATTTGTGTGTTTACTGTGTCTGACCACAAGGATAATCTTCAAATTCACTCTCATCCTCATTCACTTTTTTGATTCTATCTGTTCCCTTTAACAGCCTAATTTCTGCGTGACAGGGAATGATTAGACTTTTATTTTATTGTATGTGATCTCCCATTTTTATAACTTTCTGAAAACCACAATTCTCTATTCTCTCTTCAGTGCAAGTCTCCAAGTCTGCATGGCAATTCAAACCAGCTATAAACACTATTTTTGTATCTGACGTGGTCAAAAAACATGTTTGTTAGATAACATGTTTTTTATGCTGAAGAAATTAAAGCTCAGACTGCAAATAATCCCAATAATGATTCTATGCAGCAGACATGTGGCGTCAGGTCTCACAGATTGTGATGTTATCCTGTGTTGGGTATCATAGAGGAATGCATTTGTTTGTCTTGCTTTAGTGTTGATGGAGGAATAAATGTGTCAAAGTTCATTGCCTTTCGGCACAATTTTAAAATGTACACATGCATGGTGTGCATCATGATACTTTATCCAAACAAAGTCATCCTTTACCCTCCTGTTAGTTATTTCTCACATATTAAGTAGAAAGTGCAACCTGGATCTGACGTGACTCATTAGTCGGTCGTTTCTCAACCGGAAGGTCAGGGGTTTTCAGCCCCGGCTCCTGCAGCCACATGTCCATGTGACCTTAGCAATTAAACACTTAACCCCAAATTGCTCCCACTGTGTCATGACTTGTACATTTGTATGAATGGATTAGTTAATACTGATGGACACTTTACCTAGGAGCCATCAGTGTGTGAACAGGTAGGTATGACCTGCAGTGTAAAAAACGCTTTGAGTAGTAAGAAGCCTAGAAAAGTGTTATAAGGTCACGTTCATAGTCAGGTCCATTGGTCCATCATCTACTATTTACTTTTTTTCCCACTAATTAGGGATTTGGTCGTAGTGGGGGAATATAAACAGGGCTATTTAAATTCCCTATGAGCAAGAGTAAGATTTGGTGTCACCTATCAGTACTACCTCAAGACCACAGAGATAAGTTCTGGCTGCAGGTTCCTCGGGGTTGTTGGTGGGAATGGCCTGCTGCTATGGACCCCCCAGTTTTCTCATGTTTTTGGTTAGTTAGGGAGGTAAGTTGGTTGTCTTGTTTTCTCTGTTTTATTTTATTATGTGTGGGCACTGATTCACCCTTATTCATATTACTTATATTGGCACCATTATATCCCTTAATATCATTTAATTGTCAAAAATAAATAAAGTTTTGCGTGGCTGCTTGGGCAGTGAAGCATTTGAAAATATTCCCTTTTTCATTTTGAAACACATATTTCCTCCCGCTTCTTGTTCAACAGTCTGAGTCTGGTTCTGCTCTACAGTAGGTAAGGTCTTTGATCATGGTGGATTAATGTTGGGTCTTTGATAATAATACAACAAAGAGTCTAGACAGGCTGGTTTTGTTAAGTGTCTTGAGATAACATTTGTTATAAATTGGTGCTATACAAATAAAGATTGATTGATATATTCAAAAGGTAGAGTCATTTATTTTTCATTCGTCTAAAAGTGAGAGAAAAACCTCAGGAGGCAGGTCATGACCTAAAGAAGGGCCATGTGGAAAAGAAGGACGCTATGACCTTAACTGAACCTTAAATAAGAATCAGTAAAAGGGAAAACTAAAAACAGAAACCTATCCTTGTCTCACCTGCTTGGATGCATGGCAGCAGAGCCGCTAGAAGCACGATGCATGTCCTCATCTCTCTCAGCCGCCACTGACCAAATTCACACCTGGGGCCTTCAAAAGTTGCCTGAGACCCCCCCAGTGAGCTTCAGCGGGGGCTTCAGAGTGCGTATGCAGAGTTCACGGCAAGAGGCCAGCAAAAGCACCTGAAACATCACAAAAGCAGACGACTCAGCAAAACATGCTCAAACAGAGTCTAAGATGACTCCCTGATGTACGAGGATAACAGGGCTGTCCGTCAAATGTCTGCACAGCAAGGCCAGACTGTGGCAGATTATTTCAGAGACCAGCTTTTATTTTTGGTTTGAATTTTATTTTCAGAGATTCCTGTATGTAGGGAGACTGATCACTGTAATACATAACATGAATATGAAGCATGCTATCTTTACAAGACAGACATTACATATTTTTTTTATTATTATTATTTTTTTTTTAATTAATTGTCTGTCTTGTAAACTAAGCATGCTTCATAATTACATTAGGCCATTCAATATTTTATGAGAAGCTTGACTTCAGTCAGTTCACGTGATAGATCCTTGAAACACAGCTTATGTCCTGATTCAAAAAAGGATGTGAATGTCTTGAGGGTTGGATCTTTTCTCTTTTATAAATCCTACAAACAGGACCCAAAAAAAAGTGAAAAATATGAAAACTCATGAGTAAAAGATTTGTTAAAAAGTTCAATTTTCAAAGATTCAAACTGTCTAAGAAAGTTCAAGAGCTGTAAGAACAGTTGTGATATCAGCAGGAAATATGATTCAAAGAAAAGTGTGAATATCGGCTTCACCTTACTTGTGTTACTGCATTTAAACATGGTCATTGATGATCACTGCATGAAAGAAATATGTTCTCACACCAGGAGAGGATTACATGAGAGGGTGCATAACAAGAATCAAGTTTCACACTGAAGAAAGCAGAAGAAAGTAAAGCTGTCTACCTTTGGATGAACCTATGTATTGGTGCAACATTAAAAACATGCTAAATCTTTTTCAGCAGGAGGTTGAATGTTTATCTTTTCCTGTGACCAAAACCCTTCTCCCGCTTAATTTAAAATCATCACAGCTGACTTTTTCATGAGGTAAAAGCTTTACAAAATGTGTATTGACATACTGATGAAATGAACAGAGAGATACTTTGACAGTTCAAAAGGATAAAGCCGTGCCCTCCTTACAGAAGATATCGAGCAGTTCTTACAAAATCATGTTCAAAAATAAAGTGAATGTTTCGGTTTTGCTGGCCTGGCCATGAATACCTGTGTGAGCACAGCTAAGAGGAGCACAGGTAAGAGGAGCACAGGTAAGAGGAGCCACTTAAATGAAGCATTCATACATTATTTATAAAACATGTTTGGTCTCGACCTTCTGAAATCCTAAAGGTTCATATGTTTTGTGATTTGAGCTGTGATAGTTCAGGCAGCAGTCAGTACTTTTCAGTAATCCTGTCAGCATGATGTAAAGCAAAGGGATGAGTTTGTGTTTGAATGCAAATCACACTTGATGGGTTCTGTGATTGTGATTGTACTTAATAAGCATTAGTTGTTGCTACTCTACAAGCTCTCCTTACAGAGTGTGTTTGTTTCCCTTTTTACATTTAACTTATTGTTCAGTTCAAAATGAAAGCTATGCTGATTAATGAAGAAACGGTTTTTAAAAGAGTCAGAAGGTTGAAGCAAATAGGTGATCCTTTTACTTACTTTTTACGATCATTCAACTATTTTTAATAATTCTTGTTGGTTTTCTTTCTATTGTGTGAAAGAAAATGAATTTTGACCAACAGTTTTCTTTTGTTAAAGTGACACTGTCAATAGCAGATTTAATAAATCAATGTACCTCAAACAGATAGTGTCATTGATCTGTGATGACAACATTTGTTAGATTCAGCCTTATTTTTGTTAAATATGATCATAAGTGAAACAATAGTTGCTGTTTTTATCAAAGATGTCTCCATTATTTGATGACTTCTAATAACAATCTGTTTCAGTGCTATAAATAGTTAGCTGCCACTTAGCCATGCCCTGAAGTGTCTGGATGAGAATGACAGACAGATGCTGTGTGACTAACTTTACTCCAACCAGAGACATTGTGTCTGATGTTTGAGATTTTATGATGGTGCAGCACTGAGATTACAAGAACAAGGCAAAAGTTGAATGAAAAACACGTAGTGTGAAACATTTGTTTGTCTTTTGTCTTCAGTGTTGGTACAGGTGGTGTTTTATCTGTTTCCACCTCTTTGTTTTCTTAGTAAACATGACATTCACATATTCAGCCTTCATAAATGATTTAAATGTATAAAACAAATGCACAAACACACCTTTTAACTAAACAGATTCCAAAACAGTGTTTTCCTTATTTTTACAAAAAGAAACTTTATCATGAGGGAGATCTGGTCAGGCTCAGTTGGGTTTTGCACACTTTATGAGCTCAAAGCTAGAGTAACACACACACTTACAAACCTCTCCAGAAATAGACCAACATAAATGACCACTTTGCCTGTTGAAAACTGCCCACCACACAGTCAGTGACACAAGCATGAACACGCACGAGCACTAATAGCAGGGAGTTCACTGAGGGTGGAGAACACTTTGAAAGATATTTTCATGACTTCCATTGCAACAAAAACTTACAATTAATCTCTTGCAGCAACAAGGATAAAGTCCCTGAATAGTATTTAATAATATACCTCTGGGGTAGAACAAAGTGTTGGGTGGAGCTCTGGCAGCAGTCTGCATCAGCAGCAGGTCTTTTTGAGGTATACCGAACATATGGAGGGTGAGAAAATCTGCTGACTTAACACACATGTACACCCACATACACACAAGTACTGTTTGAATAAATGTTTTCATCTCTGTCTCGTCTACAGGAAAGCCAATCATATTACAGCCTCAGGAGTAACACACCACTACTGAAGGTTTTGATAGGCTTACACTGCATTCCACTTACAGTGGGACTCAGAACTTCTAGCTGACGGGATGTGATACCATCACTTTGGTGTTTCGCCCATCAACACATGCCAGAGAGCTTCTACAGTTGTGCGGAAACAGTTTTGAGGTTCAAGCTGTTTGGGAATTTTTAGAAGGCACTGAGCATCTGTGATCCTTGCTCCCTTATTAGTGGGTTGTGTTGGACCACTATCTGGTTCTCTTTTCTAAAATAACCAAAGTGGAGCCTTCTGAGTAAGACGTGAAGCTCTGCTGGAAAGCCAAGGTTGAAAAGTGCAGTAAAGAGCGACACATCCTATCTCAAGATAACTTTTGCATATAAAAGCAAGAGAGAAGTGTCTTGAGAAATGAGGTGACATAATGAAGAACCTTGCTGTTAGTTGGACATGGTCTTTCTCAGCCTTGACTAATATACAATTTAAGATATCCTCCTCATCCGCGCTGAGAAATCTCACAATACAGACAATTCTAGTCAAATCATAGCTGCTCTGAAAAGTACCCCAAACAGCTGTGAGGGCCTACTAGTGCAGAAACTGAGAATAGCTTGAATTTGTCTGCAAAAAGAAAAGACAATAGAAAAAATGGATTTCCTCTGCCAACTTACATCTTTTGGGGCAAGTCCACAAATTGTTGGTTTTTTTTCCATTTGTTTTCTGAAGGTCCAAACGAACTAACACCTCGAAGTACAAGCCACCAATTTAAAGTCTAAATTACTCCGTCAAAAAAATGTAGGCCAGCCACTGCCACAAGACTTTGAATCAGTCTACGATAAAAACATGTTTAGGCTGGCTAACAGCATTGTCTCTAAACTCAACCATGCTCTGAACTGTGACTATAAACTATAACCAATAAACCTGAGAAAACTGCTTCCATGTTTTAATAGTATGGTGGCCAACAAGGGTAAAATCTCTGCAACGGTCCAAATTTGGAAAAATGTGCTGCGAATCCACAAAAGCACAAAAAATGATAAACCATGCAAATTGAAAAGTGTGCTCCAGGTCTGTAGGGGGCACAGGAGAGAGTGAGGAGACAAGGAAGTGAACTTGTTATGAAACAACAAACTGATGAACAACATGGGAGAGGAGGGTCTCTGAGGAACTGCTACATTACAAAAAACCTTAGGTATATATCTATTCATCTGATAAATGTTGTCTGATGAACACATAGCTTTGCTTAAGTGCCAAGTGTTGCTCAAGTTAGCTGGGTGGCTAGCACTAGCTCCAGTTACAGGAAGCCTGCAGCTGGCATTAGCTGCACAGTTAACATACTGGAGGTTCCTGACACACGTCCAGTAATATGTTAAACATTATTATCACATTTTTTTTAAATTAATTTTTGACACACATTATTTGAAAAATGATTTTCAGAACTCTTAAAGGGATACTTCACCCTTTGAAACATGAATCTGTATTGACATTGGGTCATATATGTAGTAGAAATTTGAAATACATTTTGAAGTTGGTGCCTTCTTGGCCGTGAAAAGACAGAAAGTGTCTTTTTGGCTCATGTGGATGAAAGACACCACATAGCTCCTGGTGGCCAGGCACGCGGCACACAGCCGCAGCAGCCAAAACACAACACCAGCCTGTCAGCAGCAGCTGTCTCACCGCTATATTTATATTTTTTCGCCATTATCAGCTTTCTCCATAGAGCCTGTTAGCATAGCTTCCAAGCAATATGGCGGATGTTAAATTTCGATTCTGGGAGTGAGTTCCCACCCACTGATCTGTGATTGGTCTGTAGCTTCAGTGGTCGAAAATATGAGGAACTAACGTTGTAGTTTCACCCCGCTAACCACAACAACTTCCAGTGACACAATATTGCAATAAGAGAAAACAGTCACAATGGAGAACTGTCACAGGAAACAGAACAGCAAAAGTAGAAAACAATGACAAGAAGAAGCCATTACAGCAGAGAAACACTGACAAGCAAGGGGAAAGAGAGAGTAGTGAGATCAAAGAATAGTAAATACAGTAAAACACTGTCGGAATAAGCTCAGCTTAGCATCCACTCACAGCACACGTTGTTGTCCAAACGGCTGCTGACACCTCAAAAACAAACCTTTCTATCCCTGAATTTAATTATAAAGGAGGACATACTGGCTGCTGCATTGTTGACAGAGAAACCAGCAACATACTGTAGCACATTTCCTTATTGTCTAATCATATAGTAAGGTCATATTATGATTTAAATCAGTAGATTTCTTAC